CCTAGGGGCTCAAAATAGAATTTCAAGGGAAAGAATTGAGAATTTGTTCTGTGAATACAAAGGGGAGGTCTACAGCACCAGAATTGGAAGGTGAAAAATTGGGATGTTTAACAGCTCACCTTCTTGTGAATAGTTATGAACTCCCCTTCACTTTCTAGACCTCTGGAAGCAGCAAGCTCTTTAATGTTTATATCTGAATACTCATAGAAAGCTTCATCGTGATCTAACATTGGAACTTGCTTGGGGGAGGATTTCTGATAAAGCAAGATCTGCTGCTGCATCAAATTTTGAGATCGCAAATTTTCAACTTCCACTTCCCCTACTTTTAATATTGATTTCTCTGGGCTTTGAGATTGGAAATATTCAACTTCCACTCCATTCGATATTGGTTCCTCAATACTTTGAGACTGGAATTGTTCAGCCTCCACTTCTTTTAATATTGATTTCACTGGATTATGAGATTGCAGATTTCCAGAGGGAAGTTTTGCAGCATTTTTTGTATTCACCTATGTATGATATTTTATAGTTAAGGTCATACCCAGAAAATGACAAAATGAATGTATCAGGAAAAGGTCAACCTCTATGCGCAACTGCAGTTCCAAGTGACGAGAATGAACGGCTAGGAATTGGAATTTCCCTTCAACCTCTGGGAGAGAGATGCTACAGACTGTGCAGCGACCATGCCGGAAGCTGTATCTTACATTCTCATCTATATTTGACCACTCAGATTTTATAATAAGTGTGTGGGGTTGACCGTTTTTTTCATCATCATGGATACTTTCATCAACTTCACCTTCAGAATCTATGACTTCAAATACGACATTCTCCAAATGAGAACCAGGAACACAAAATTCAGGTATCTGCTATCAAGAAAATAAAGGAGCAGTAGTTTCAGGCACCTTAGATGCCTTGTATTTTTCAAACTTTAACAAAACTTTCGAACTAAAATAGGTCGAGAGGTACAAACCTCTGATGCAACGCGTAGCTCTCGCTTTTCAATTTGAAAATCTTTCTTGAAAATTGCTTCTTCACCAGAGAAAACAGAAAGAGATGCTGTAGGAGATAAAAAGTATTGTTTAGTTGAGAATAAAAACGAAGCTACTTACAGCTGAGTTCAGGAAAAGAACCTACTCACTGAATGGAATTGTAGAATTCTTCTAAGTTCACACCATAATATCTCAAACTCTCACTAAATGGAGTTATAGAACTATTATGCGCTCTCACCACAATCTTTCCCTTAATTATTATTCTGTAATTGCTGAAGGTGGAGAGCTTTTCAAACGGAGAGCATATTTTCTTATCTCTCTTAATTTCTAACAGTGGAGCCTCAACTTGATGAAGGACCATAATCTCCTTTTTATAAAAAAAAAGACCGGCTATGTCCTTTTCATTTTGAGTCCAAGTACACAACTTGCATTTGTTTCTCAAAGTTGTAGCTCCTGCCAGACGTCATGCATCCTTATAGCTTCTTTTTACCTTTTTTAAATTAACTTAATACTTAAGTCTTGGGGAAATGGGCCCTCCATTTGGAGGTACCCAACATCTAGGGGATCAAGATGCACACAACCTTGCCTATGTAAAATACAAAGAAGTTGTTTCCATTGACCCGTGATGCATTGATGCATTTACTCCCCAAAACTTCATATTAAGTGAGAAGCAAGGGAAGTTTAATGTGCCATCTTGATATTGTCCACTTTTTTTCCTCAACTCACAACATAAGAAAAACAATGACTCTTTTAGCTCCATTGAGAATGGATGTGGAAAGGTCATAATACAGTAACAAAATTATAATATGCACCTGTTTTACCATATCCTGCTGTAACTTTAAGTATGCCACCAAGGTTTATACACCCATTTTCATCAACCTATGTTGGGAGAAGCAAATGATTAAAATAATAATCAAGCGTAGCCTGGAGAATGATGAATCATGATTTTGCTCCAAAAAGAATAATTAACAATGCCGGTATATCAAAGCAAAATGAAAATAAGAGAATGTAATGAGAATTGATTTCATAAATTTATCACACATCACACTTGATTCCAGCTAATTGAAAGTTTGAAACATAGAGAGAGTTTCAAAAGAAAAAAACAATCAGTATCAATAGAATCTTATTGGGAGTGTCAATTTTATATTGAGGAAGAAAATACAATAAATACTACCTTACAATAAATAGAATCCATAGAATCTTATTGGGAGTTTCAAATCACTTGACTGGGCACACCTCTGGAGAACAGAGAAAGAATGAAAGATAATACCTTAAATAAAAGACAGCTTTTAGTGTTTGGAGCACAGAATCCATCCATCTGCAGTTGGATTTCTTCTTCTTTTTGGATATGATTATTATATTCATCAAACAGCTATAAATAAACAAGTACTCAAACGTTAGCTGCAATTTATGATGTGTTTATGAATATAGTGCACCTAGTTCTTTGAATTGGTTGAGAACCTAAAAATATCAAGAGATGTAACTCAAACTTCAATTTTCAACATGATGTGAAGGGATCTTCATGGTCTGTGTTCTTTTACTCTGGAATCAATAGGTAAACTCTGATACTGCTCTTGGCAAAAAGCACTGATCTAATTCCTACTTCACTAGTTCAGAAAGCTTTTTTTGCAAAAGTGAAGCCTCTGGCCGGTCCTTTTTTTTCATTGTCCAGTTTGCAAGTACAGTATTCTTTTCCTTATGTTTCTTTTTAAAGATCAATCGTTGTTACATACTCCATTTTTCATGGTAAACCCGAACAGTTTAGTTGAAGGAAGAAATTCTGAAACACAGGTAAGCTTCATGCTCATTCCAGTTCAAGTCAGTGCCTTATACACTAGAGCAATATGGCATTCTAAGAAAATCAATGATGATCTCAAGCCATGAATCCAAAAAGATCTTCTAAAGAAGATGACAGCAAAGCCGTTGCAACACAGAAGGCCAAAAAGAAGGGTGCATGCAAAACTTACCTTTTTCATATTCATTATTTCTAGTGTTTTGAAGTTCATTTTGAGAAAATGCATCCAAGGCATTATCAGCGGAAACGAGAAAATATATAATTCATCCAGTAAGGGAACAAAAAAGATGGATGTTCCGATAATATAATGGAATAGTACTCTAGCATTATTGAGAACTCAAATAAACTAAACCCTAATCTAAGTGGTTGCAGTTTGCAACATGGTTCATATTTATCATATGCATCTTAAATAACCAAAAAAAAAAAGAAATATCACATTACCCACCTCCAATTTGAGCTCTGAGATTAACGTGCCAGGAATGAATTTATGTCTTAATTTCAGTGGATGGACACTCACATGGTGTGGCGGCCCAGGCAAAACTAAGTACAGAAAATGAGATTCATTACATTCTTCCAAGCGATAGAATTAAAAAACTTTTGCACTCAAAATCTTAAATTTAGTAAAAAAAATGTAATGATTGAAAGGTATATCATAGATTTACCCTGAACTTGAATGGTTACAGAAAATGGCTCATCCTTCGAACCTATTGACAAGGTAGTTTCATAGCTTGGTCCAATCTTGTCTAGTTCACTGGACTCGAAAACCAAACCCTACAAAACGTGATAGTTGAGGAGGTAACCTGTGTGTGTGTGAAGCTAGACGTATTTCATAGTGTAGAACCCATTACTTCATATCAAAACATACCTTAACAGTTAAAGTGAGTTTATCTTTCGAAATATATACATCCATAGAATAATCATGAGCAAAATCACCCCTTTCAGAGTGAAGCTTGACCTCAACATCAGAAAAGGGCTTGAACTGAATGCTGTTCATGTATTTGTCATAACATGCAATATAGATAGGTGGAAGTTCACGCATACCAACCCTGTACAAATAATGAAAAAAATATTATTTATAAACACCACATAAGTTACTTATCTAGGACAAGAGTGTATATCTAATGAGGTAACAAAGAAAATTAGTAGTCACCGTGGAGCCTTACCTTGTTTTATATTTCCCACTGTTTTTACTTGAAAGACCCCAACTTCCAGTCTCCGACAAAGCTCGTACGTGTACTTTTCTTTCATAAGTTCCACAAGTAATTTGGTTCTATAGAGCAAGTTTACAAGGAAGCAAAATCAATTATTACATATAGGTTATTAAACATACCAGCCATACAGTTATAAACATGTGTAAATAATCATTACTTACAAGTGAAAATAGAAAAGAATATACTCCAGCTTTGTGAAATAACTCTGGCAACTTCATTCTCAACGGAAAAACATAAACCCCGCTCACCCCATTATGTGATGATGGTTTTGTGCGAAGAGAGTATACATGGGCGGCACATTGGTCATTCTTGTCTGAAGCAGAAAATCTGATGTTCAGAATCATCTCAAAATTTTCTCTAAGTATGTACTTTTGGTCCAATTTCTTAGAAGCCACAGCAGATTTGGAGGACGATGGACGAACAACTGCATAAATTTCCTCGGGAGGGTCGTGACCAGCATCAACTACATCGTGAGGCAGTGTCTGCCATGAGACCAGAGCAAAACCAGTTTTAATGCAAAAACCATGTTAACAGCTCAAAACGAGAGATGGTCCACTTCAATATATGTTACCTTACTCCCTGTGTTTTGTTTTTGCATGTCAAACTTTGACCAGATATATGCTAGAAATATACAATGACTTACTCCGTAAAATATAAAGTTTAAACCATTATACAGAAGTTTTTGCATTGAAAATACTTCTATTATATTTTTTTAAATATTTTTTTCTAATACTCCGTATAATTTAAGTGGTATACGTTGACACCAGAAACAAAACAGAAAACTAATATGGAAGGAGAGAGAACTCTTAAAATCCTAACACTCACTAACTACTTAAGAAAAGTGTAGAAATTTAAGATATGAACATGCATTTGTAAATACCTCATCAACATTCAAGTCTGGGAAATCTTTGGCATCCAATAATTCAATTGAGGATGGGGTTTTTTCTTGATGGTATTTATCAAGCTGGTGTTCCCACTCGGTGTCATCAACTTGTATGCACTGCATTAAGTGACATATTATTAATTAATAACTTTCCTTAGCACTGAAACACCAAAATAGCTTCTAATGTTAATGAAAAGTGACCTTATCAGAATCAATGACACTGAATGGTAAAGATTTAGATCCACGTAGATCTAGGTGAGGGCTTTCTTTATCCAAAGAAAGTCGGCAACCATCCTCAGGGTGAACTCCCAATTGCCTATATGTGCAACACGCAAAATGAAAGGAATATACTTTCAGAGAGAACTATTTAGCAAGGAAATAATTTACCTGCATACAATCCAAGCATCACCTGCATAAAATTAAAGAATATTGTTTGTTTAATAAAAGACCAAGGAAAAAAAGGCCAAGGATGATCACTGATACGCTGTCATACAATTGAACATTAATAAATGAAACATGTTTTCTAAAGCTTTAGATACACATATATCTACATTGGGAAGTTGGGAACTTACCACCATCACCTTCACATCCTTCGAGTATAATAAACTCTAGAGTGGCAAAAATGTTTGTTCTGTTAAAACCAGGGCACGCTCCCTTCAGGATTTTAATTTTCTGTCCGGATCTCCAGGTGATTCCTTTCCTCTGGAAAGCTCTATGAACCCGCAGGACTAAAATGATTGTAAACCATTAAAAAAAGCTACATAAGTATAGACTTTAAATAAATAAAGTTTAAATGTTTTTCATTAATTAATTAAATAACCTGACCCCCTATTAACAACTATTCCTCACATTTATACAATCTTTTTTCTTTTTCCCATAAAATATTATCAATAATGCACACAAAATAATAAAAACTTTGTTCCTTCCCCTTGATTTTTCATCATAATCTATAACTTTTTGAGTAATTCATGCTTGTTATTGACAGCTCATAGGGCTGTCATTAGCAAAACCCTAATTGTAAATATAGCTAAGATACTTTAAGTGAAATTTCTATATCAAAACCCACAACACGATAATTTCTACAATGACTAAAGAATTTCATTACATATGCACTTATGTACATAAGCTTACCATCAGATGAAGTGCCTAGCTCTTTTCTGTTTTCAGAGCTTAATACAATGATAGGTTGATCATCGCCTGATTCAATTTCACAATCATATCTATTGTGCATATTCAAAACCCAATCATGGTATACCTTCTCTAGCTGTGTAAGAGAAAGGGGTTTTCCATCCTTGCAAATTTCAATATGTACATCTGCAGAAATATTTTTTATGTCATTGTGAGCAACAAAAACTTAACTCATTATTAAAAAAGGTGAAGTGATGAACCAAGAATTAGTACCTTTCTCACACGGTTTGTTGCCAAACTGCTTAAGTGCAATGGTAAAAGGATTGCATTGTGCTAAGTTTGTCTGGGTAATGAAATTCAAAAGTCAATAACGGGAAAAAGAAATGTAACATAGCACATCAGGTCCACATCAACTGAATTCTCATCACTGGAAAAATATAAAACGAGAATGACAAGTGCTAAGAGCATCTCAAACCATGCTTACTATATTGGCTTGCTATTTTTATATTTTAGCAGTGATGAAATTACCCCCGGTTGCTACAACAACTAAGCCTTGATCCCAAATGAATGATTCATCTCATATGTGAAGGGAACCCAATGAGATCAAGGCAACATGCTAACACCTCTCCAAATGACAGAGCACTTCTAGACTTATCGAAGATCTTACAGCTACTAAAACATTCGTTGGGAATTAAATGTGAACTGAATGACACTTTGAAGTAAGGAACAATTAATACCTTGGCTGGTGTGGGGTTGAAACCTGCATCAGTATCTGCAATCAAGACATCCTTTTAGGAAGCTTATATATAGTGGATAAAGTTCCCGTCAATTATGGACATGCTACCTTCAACTTATTTCAGTACTATCATATCATCTCTGGTCAAACAAGACCAGCATCACATAATATTACATTATTATTCTGTAAAATAATAATAATACTCCCTTCATCACTAAATAAACTTCAGTTTATGGTCAATTCAATTTATTTGTATATTGGTGTGTGTGTGTGTGCACACACATAGTATTATAAAACTACATCAAAAGTTCTTTAGAACAAGAAGTGACATGACTATGTTAATCTAACAAATGATATTGATTGACGATGTGAATAGTGAAATTGAAGTTTATTTAGGGAGGGAGTAAAAACTTTATTACTCTCTTATCACTACTACTACTACTACTATTCAAACTCATACCAGTATATTTTATCAGCGTTAAAAATTAATTTAAACACAGCCAAGGAATTTATATCAAAATTACACAGCATCGTCCATCTCATCATCATCTTCCCTATGAGTTTTACTGCTTCCCAATTTTGGTGATTTCAGGGAAATACTCCCAAGAGGCAATATTTACACAAATGCTCCTAATTTTGACATGGAACTCAGTAAATACTTACTGTCACTGAAGTTGGGTCTCCGGCCACTTTTACAAATTCATCCCTATGTCTCCAACAAATGTGCAAACATAAAAACTAATCCAATGTTGATTCATTTTGTAAAAAACCAGGTAGGAGAAAATAGGTTGAAGATCAAACTTCGGTGGTAGATGGAATATTTATGAAGCTGATAATTAAATGTTGGAGTATTCATGTAAATATTGTTATTTGGGAGTATTCTTGGAAAAATGTTAAATTTTGGGAGTATTTCCATGTTTATTTCCTTTAAATAAATAATAATTGCAGTACTAATTTGTCATTGATCACTATATTCATACAAAGCAATTTTTTTCAGCACCTGAACTATTCTCTTAATCCGTCAACAACAACGATAATAATATTTAAATATTACTATTAAAAAACTTAAAGTCAGGTAATATCATTCAAAATCATATTTCCCAAGATGAGACAAGGGCATATCTGAAAAACAACTGATGAGAACAGGTAGGGGAGAGAGAAGGGGAAACGGGCTGGTTGTATATAAACAATAACCCTACCAACAAAGCATTTTACTCTAAACCAGCATCTCTTAAATGAATCTGCTTTCCTTTGTCTGGGTTCCATGAAGGGTAGCCGTGGCTGAAATTCAACAAAAAGAATTGGTGGTCAGGGTGTATATATACAATGACTACCAACAAAGAATTTTAATCTAAAGCAGTGTCTCTTAAATGGTTCTCCTGGTCTTTGTTTGGGTTCCACGAACGGAAGCCTTGGCTGAAATTCAACCGAACCACTGCCAGACAACTAGTATATATTTCAAAGTTCATCATGCATAAAGCCATAAACATGGATATATATGCAGAAACGCATGTATAATTAATGCTTGATGGGTTAATAAGGTTCATATCAAACAATATTGTATGCATAGAGTATCAAACTGCAGCAATCTCAAGTTTAAAATACAAGTAATTTTAAAGTCAGGACGGACTCAATGAATAGAAGTTCAAGCAATTAACACCACATAAAATTCAAATTGGCAAACCCAGCGAGCATCTGGAAGCATGCGACCCAAGCGCCGAACAGAAACACGGCTAAAACTTTCAAAGTTCTCTAGAGTCTCATATCCTTCCTGTTTTAAATTTTCAATTATCTTTTCAATGCTTTCTTTACCCTACACAGAGTAGCAGAGCAGAGACATGAATATATACTCTGAATGCACACGTTCAGTATAGTAGCATTTCCAATTAACAAAGATGATGGGGGAAACCAATACAATGTTACCTGAATTACAGGAAAATAAACACACTTTAGGCGAGCATTTGCTTCGTGATGTCCTGAAGAGAACAAATTTTATTGCATTGTAAAGAAGTTCAGACTCTACATAAAAACCAATTAGAGCATTATCCAGACCTCCTATAGAACTGGTGCCTGAAGTGAAATGCAGTTCCAATGTAAAGTCGGGACCATTACATGAGAACAGGTTCGTAAGAGCCACTTCTCCACTCAAGATTTCTGCCAAGTTAGTTCCATTGACCTGTGTAATATCAACCGAAAGAAACAACTGCTGATGACACATTGTTCATGCAGAATATAGGGGTTTCATTGAAAAGTGTGCATGTGCTTGACTTCTAACAAGCAAGTATCAATTTGATCAGAAAACACAAGTTGAAATCATGAATAAATTGCTTAAAAAAAGGAAAACCAAATAAGGAACATCTCTTGTTATACACATAAAAAATGTGACCCAGTAAAAAAATAACCAAACCTGAAATTCTGTTGGCATTGCAGTTCTTCCGGTTTCAGATATTTCATCACACTTTGCAAAGAAGAGGAAGCAATTAGTGGATGAGATGGGATATTAAAAGAGAAATTGTATGAATATCAGAATTTATGAACTAAAAAAAGAATCAAATCATTTAGTTGGAAAAATGATCGAGAAAATGGAAAAGACAAAGGTAAAGAGAAAACATGCAACATAAACTGCTGCCCTATCACAACTAGTATAGAGCTACATCCCCCTTCATCAATTATAATATAACTAAATCCAATGATATACGATGCACACGGGAGAATTTCAAATTCTAAATAGTTAGTTTGTATATCATATATACACAATCACATCAAACTTTTTTAAGAAAATATATAAGTATATAATTGTATAAACAGCACTTTCAGGAATATTATGAATTTTAAAAATAAAAGACAATGAAGCCTCATCAATATGGAATTTAATCTTGTGAACCATAAAAAGGGTATACCCTTTTCTTTTTTCATAATTTTATTTTACAGTGGGTAGATAAAAAGGAAATCATCAGCATCATGTCAGAGATATTTGATTGTATACCTGAATATAAGGAAAGTAAATGTCTTTTAGTTTCCCTTGCAGTATCTTTATATCTTCACATCTCATTTTTGGCTCTAGAATCTCCACCTGTCAATAGAAACAACATGTTAAAATCTAAGAAAGAAAGGAATTTAATGCATTCGCCAATTTTACAACGGTTTTTATATACTCTATATAAAGTTTCCAGTATGTACGATACAATGATAACAAACTATATTCTAAAATTAGCACCTTTTTCAAATCAGTGAAGACATGGACTGCTACTTTAAGTAATTGAAAGTATGGATCAACTTTTAAATCAAACACATTCTATGAAACTACTTCACATATGCATTATCCTAGAACTTTACATATGCCTCTAAAATTTATACTACCTTAATAAGCTAGCAAACAAAACACTAGAATGACATTTCTACTTCCCCTAAAATCTAGAATATTAGGAATTTATTTGTAATGGAAATATCAAGAATTCCGTCAGCATAAACCAAATTTAAAATGGGGTTGTCTATGGCAAAACTGAAAGGAAATAAATGAGGTGCAGAAATTCTGAAATAAATTGTACAGCAAAAGTAGTCTTGGATTACTGGGTTGTTGTAGAGGAAAAAGTAGTGGTGTAAGGTGTAAATGTAATGGTGTGTGAAGTGAGATTGATTAGTGCCTGTAAATGAGGGATAAAATCATGGACAAAAGTCCATTTGCTACTAGGAATTGGTCAACACTGCTATGTCAGAATGTTAGATATTTTCACCGGTATAACTTAAAGGGCAGAACAAACATATAATGCATATTGTAAATCCCTACAAGCAGAAGCATAGAATTCAGGCTGTATAGACTGGTTTAAGTAAAAAAACACCTTTATAAAGTATCACATGAATTTATTGATTTGAACTTAAAGGAAAAAAGTAAGAAGTGTTACTTTAGTGAAGCTCCCATGGGGTGACTCTTGAACTTCATAACCAAAGGGGTCTCTTAGGCCACCATTAGTCTGCAATGATTAAATGATAAACATGAGGGCCGAAGACAAAGGTGGTTGGAGGTAGTTAGGACAGTGGAGATAGAAGAAGATTTCACACCCTCCGTGTGTTTTCTGAAGACGAACAGTTGAGTAAATCATCTCTCTCTAGATGTAATATATACACTTTCTTTGATGCTTTTGTCTTGGAAGAGACAATGGCTCTTCTGCAATATAATATCATACACAGTGTTATTCCATTACAATGAAGAAAAAAGTAAAGAGCTTTTCAACAATGTATACCGTCCCAAGTGCATGGACGCAATAGGCCCTCCATATCCAAACATCCCAAAATAAGGCTGCAATTAGAAAGAGTATAATTTAGGTAATAGCAGTAAACACAGATTAATGCGTAGTGCATATGATCCTGGAGTAAGAAAATATAAACAACAATTCATTCACATCAACTTTGAGCAACATTATAAAAATTGGATGTTAATCCAAAATGAAGTCATGTAAAGTGAGAATTCAGTTGTTTACTAGCTTGTACAATTTTAGTTAACTAAAATCAAACTGTGGAATCATTTCATGAGAAGAAAAAAAAGACCCAGTTAACACTACATGCAATTATACAAAATGAAAATGTTTTAACTTTAAGGCTGTTAGATTTAATCGTATTGTTTAATTCATGGTCAGAAGTTCGTTAGTTTAGATTTAAATATTAAAACTAAAAGGGACAGTTATGGGTAATTATTTCTGGAAGTTATAGGTAGTTATTTCTGGAAGTTGTATTAGTTTGTAATAGATGTGTTGATTAGTACCAATAGTTGTGTTGGTTGTTGTCTATAAATATTCCCGGAACATAGAATTCCTGTATGTAATTCACAATAAAAAAATCACAGTTCTATTCTGTAGTTGATCTGTTCTTCCTATCATTTTTCTAACAAAGACAGCTTCTGATTAGGTGAATTTCAAAGTCAAGCATAAGTGTACTTTGTGGTAGATAATAAAAAACCTTCCTTTCACCATTTTTACTGCTTATAAAATTGTGAATACTTTTATAAAAAAACCTTCCTTTCACCACACAGATTTATGCAATCTTATTTCTACATTCCGAAAATCTTTTTAACATAAAGGTTTTTGAACAAATGATACAATCGCCAAATGATCTAATAGTCAGCACGTAAGAACATAGCCACCAGCAAACCACTGCTGATCAAATTTTATATATCAGATTTAAATACTTTAAAAGATTATTTGAACTATGTCCTTATACTCCAACAACATTAACCCTTGAAAATACATTTTCATAATGCAACAAGATACTACCATCATATAAAATCAATTACCTTTAGGTAGGGAGGTTTGCATCCTATGGCTTTTCCTTTTGACGACCGATGTAGGGACGCCCCCATTTTTCCCCTAAAGAGAGGTAACATGAATCAGCCAGATGAACAATAGTATTCAACTGCTAAAATTATTATGCAGTGCAAAAACAAAACCTTTAGGGCACAATATGAACGGGATTAACAGATGCAGCTTCTTCCTATATAATCAGTTGCAACTATTGAAATGAAGGGTCTAGTTGGTGGTGAGTAAATGCAGCTAACATGTGAAAATGTAAGAGGGGAAATAGTGAACAGCCTTGGATGATAAGAGAATCATGCATGGACTTTGAATATGTAGAAGTAGCAGGGTGCAAAGGCACAAGAATAATCACGGACAGCCTAACACAACACACTAGTTGGTAAAAAGCCAATGGCTTTTTTCTCTCTCCAAATGGGACTTGGAGTCTAAAAGAGGAATTTCGTCTAGCTATGATTTCTTCAGACAAAGAATTCAGCCTACCCTTGGAAGATGACTGTCTGGGCTCATTTTCAAAACTTTACAACGGATTTGGGTGTCAAGACGTCTCCAAATACTCAAACAGGGACATTTTGAGGACAGAAAAGAACACTTATTTGAGATGCTGATTACATGAATTCTATTAACTATCTTAAAAGGCTACACTTTAATAACAATTCTTTACACCCAAATAAAATCAACAAAGTAAATAACTCATACCACTTTGCTATAGAATTTTCAACACTTCCATCCATTCCCGGGCCCGTGTCAAATATTATTATCTTGTTTATGGACAACTTCACACTGCAAATAAAGGGGACCACTTGTCAATTTTATAATTCAATAAAGCAAATCCTTCAATCTAACTGAAAAAAGGAAATAAAGGAAATGAAATAGAAATGCAGGAGTACGACAGTGTAAAACATTTAACAATATCTAAATGCAAAGCATGAACTCCATTAAAGCATACCAGCAAGAACATTTAAGAGAGAAAATTTGAGTTTCACAAAAATCACAACTTGCAAGCAAAAAAAATAAACTAGTGAACCCGCTACATCTTTTCCCCTGTATAAAATGATTGAACCACAAAGCCGAGGGTTCCCAGCCTCCCATCTACCCTCGCCCCAGGAGCTTTTGGGGATGAGTTAAATTGCATGACTTTGCTGCCACATAGTGTGGATGGAAACAAGGTAATCACAACAATATCATGAGATGGAAAGCTGTGAGTGAGGGCCAAGGGTCTAGTAGAAAATAAGAAAGGGAAAACATCTTGCGCCACAAGCACCTGAAACCTAGGAAAAATTTGTATGTAAGTTAAATAAGGTTTGTTGAGTTCAGATTAGACCTATAAATGATAGGTAACATGTAGTCCTATATGAGTACCTTCTTACCATTACTGGTCACAACATACTGCCTTATTTAGTTACATTGTACACATTTTTGCCACAGTTTCAAATTTAGATATTTCTTTCATAATACACAAAGTGCACGGTGTTTTTACCGTATAAATTTTGCAATGAGAATGACTATGACAACTATCTCAACTCATAGTGAAAAGAACTCCAGAACTTCATCTAAGTATTCCTTGTTTAGAAGGTTGTGAGAAGAAAGACAAGCCATGTATAATATTACCAATGTGTTTTCTTTCTTTTGTTTGGATAACTTATAGCGTCAACTAATTTTAGACTATTAATTGACACCATAAATTTCATTTCAATGACACGACTGTTGTTGATATAAATGTGAAGATCATGATAACGATGATATCAAATTAAAGGAACCTCAAATTATGTGCACATACTGGAACAGTTTTATTGAAGATCAAATGTGCCACCAAATAAACAAGGCCATCAACTTCAGAATATAAAAAAAGGCAATCAGCCTCACTACAGCTAGCATACCTGATTAATCTCCTTTCTTTTTCAGGATTATACCATACAGCTTGCAATGAATTATCCTGATGAGTAGTAAGCACAAGTTGCATAAAGTGAGTGATTACATGAGTATGGCACCCAACTGAAATTGAAATGCATGCATGTATGATGGAGGGCACCCAACTGAAATTGAAATGCATGCATGTATGATGGAGGCTTACTATTAAGTCAGCAAGGGCAGACTCAAATGTGTATTCTTCAGGCAACTCCTTTAGTAAGTCAGTATCTGGAGTGAGATCCCACATATTCTACAAAACCCAATCATGAAAAGGTTGCTCAGAATACTGAAAGCACCCTAAATATCGAAATAATAAAAAGTGTTGTTTATGCAAAGATTACAGTTCATGAAATAGGAAAATGCACATTATTAATCGGAGGTTGTGCTTATAAAAGGGGGAAATTAAACAAACCTCAAATATCTCTGCCTCAACTGATCCATCCTGCATGAAAAATTTAAAATTGAAATATCAAAATGAGCAAAAACAACAAGAGCAGAAGACAAGATGTAAAAAAACTCACATGAAGCCTTAACATATAAGTCTTTCTCGGATTCAACTTCCTGAGATCAATTCCCTTAATCTTCCTGTCAAGAGGATCCAAAATATACAAGCTTGGACTGTTCCAATTAATCTGCCTCTTTTGCGACCATGTTCTTCCCTTCAAGGCCATGTACTCTGTCTTTATAGCATCCACCAGTTGAGAAAGCGACATTTCATTTTTATCTCGCCCTACTTTCATCTCTAAAGTCGTGCCATTAGGCATAAGAACTCGAAAACTGACCACCATGTCAGGATCTCCATCCTCATCTTCACGGCTGCATATCCTAAGAACTTGGCATTCCTTCCTTTTAAACATTTCAGAGTATGCTTGCTTCTTATGAGCAGAACCCGCATCTCGACCATCGCTAATCCTCTTTTTGGGTAGATCAGAGTAAAAATTCGTCAGGGGCCTTTTGCTAACTCTTTTGGGAGGCGGAGTTCTTGAGTCCATCTGCGCGTTTAAAACAAAACAGTAATTTCCATTATTTCATTCAACTTTTTCTCTAACAAAAAAAACACAAAACAAAAACAAAAAATCTACTCCGTGTGGTAATAAGAAAGAAAGGAAACAGAAATCACTAGCAAAGCAGCGTTTCAAAGAATACCAGGAGAAAAAAGAACGAATTTAAAAGCTAAAAGCGGTCGAGTAATGGGGGAAAAATGGGGATGAAATCCGGGAAAAGGGAAATTTTGAAGATTATTCGAGGGTTTGCTATGGCTATAAATATTCAATGTGCATGCTTTGATGCTCGAGAAATCCGCCAACCAAATGCATCCTCAGACGGCTACTTACAAGTGTTGAAGAAATTTATATATATTCAAGCAGCAGCGATAAAGAGATACCTCTGTTGGTGGAGTTGAAGAGACCTGGCGGTTTTGGGTTTTGGCAGAGTGGCAGAGGAGAAGGAGGAGGAGGAGGAGGGAGGCATGTTCTGACGGCTGAGGCTACTGTGCGCCGGGATGCGTAAATGCGCCTTTTCTTTTTGTCTTCTCGTGGAAAAAGAACGTTGTCCGTTGCATATAGGACGATCGCTTGTGTACGTACTAAGTTAGCGCTCCCTCCAAAAATTGGAATTTCAAACTACACATGTCCGAAGTAGATGGATGACACGTGTTTCTTTGAGATCGTGGTCGAATCCTTCCCCTTCAAAAGAATGACCTTATTGCTTTCCTCAACAAACAAAAAAAACACAAAACAAAAATGAGCAATGCTAGGAGTACACCAAAGGCGTACCCTAAATGTACATCACCCTCTTCTCCACCACACATTTTTATTTGATTTTTATTTATTTATTCTTTTTAGATTTTCTTGCCTTTTTTTGTGGACAAGGAGGAGGTGGGGGACATATGGGGTACACATTTGGTGTACCCCTAGCATTTTTCAACAAAAATGACCATATTGCCGGAGCACAATTCGCATGCACCTTATGTTATACTCCCTCAGTCCCCCGGTTTTTGTCCACATTTAACTTTTGGAACTGTTCATCTAAGCACTTTGACTCATCAAATTCTCTCAATGTGTAAGCCTAAATATAGTCATGTGTGATCTTGTTTGATTTATCTTAACATATAGATTATTAATATATAATTCCTATAATTTTTTAATATACAAATTACAAGATAAAATGGATTAAAGAAGTGCATTGGATGGTGTGTAAAAATGAAAGTGGACAAATACTCTAGAACGGAGGGAGTACAATCTGTAGCTAAAGTTGGGTATAGTCTGCCCTAAAACGACAAAAGACGCAGCGCTACGTTAAGAGCCTGTTCTTTAGGGTTTGAACTCTTAACTTCCAATTTCCTCCACACTATAAAAAATTTGACTTTTTGTGGCACCAAATTTTGCCACAAAACATAAAAAATTAGTCACAATAACAATTTGTAGCAATTTAGGAATTTGCCACAAGATTGCCACAGATACCCCGTTACAAAAGGTATTTGTGGCAAATTTAACTTTGCCACAAAATATAAGGTTTTTGTGGCAAATTATGATTTGCCACTAATAAAACTTTGCCACTGAAGCTCATGTTTAGTGGCAAATTTCAATTGCCACGAATTGTAATCTGCCACAAAAGCTAATGTTTAGTAGCAAATTTATGTTGCCACAAATTATACTGTCACAACAAATCACAATTAGTGGCAAATTTTAATTGCTACAATTATAAATTAATTATGGCAAACCTAATACTAGTGATAGTTTATAATTGTGTCAAATTAAATTTGCTTCAGATTCTTGATTATATTACATTTTCTCTTAAATAAACAATTTTATTACAATAAAGTAGAAAGATACAAGGGCATGTTGTACGTGTAATGCCAAAATTTGGGTACAATAACCTAAAGCCATGAAATGACAAATTTTCTAAAGTATCAGTAGTTACATTACAAGCTAAAAAAGCTTAAAACCACTCATGCTTTCCAGGGAGTTCACATTTAAAGGATCAGGGGATATGGATACTTTTAAAAAACAATGCTTCTCCTTGTGCGCTCTCTCAAGATTTGATAAGCTCCAGTCCTGCTCTTTTGGTGCTGTCCAAATCCTCTAGAATGTGCATTTTTTCCTCTTCTATAGCATCACATTGTTTTATCCATAAAGGGCTCTCCTCCAACACTTTGCCTAGTTTTTTATCAAGAAAATTTTCATATCTGCATATTGACAAACACCAATAACAAGTCTTCTATCTTTTTAGTGGTTGGTTATAGTAGTTATATTAGTAACAATGACAGTTGCCAACAACAAGAATGCACAATGTTTTTTCCATCTCCAACATAGACCACCTGGAAAATTGCATTTGTAGTATTAGATTATATTGGATACATCATTAATGGCTAGGATAAGTTAAGACCTCAATCAAGTAGAACAAAATCCATTATATGCTTAAACCGTGCATCTAGAAGCCAATAGAACAAAATGGCATTGGAGCTTGAGAAAAAAACTAGATTAGAAACACTGGGAGGTAATAGAGTAGGTAAAATCAGACCTTGGTTCCTTCCAAGCGACCAACGTGTTCAATGATGGTAAGTGCATCGGCCATGATTTGACATTGGTGGTTGTAATTTGTTAATCTATTGACAACAGGAACAGTGGTATACTTGGCTAGGTCAAGGATATTTTGAGAACAAATATACAAGTACCATAACAATTGAGCCACATCAATTCTCTGAGCATCAGCTAATGGTAATGAATGTGACTAATGTGTTATAACAAAATAAGAGAATGTGACTAATGCTTCAACTATCACAAGAAAACCAAAATGGAACTCATTAGCTTACTTGATGAGCACACACATATGCCATGGATGGCTTTGCAAAAATCATTGCCATACTCTTCCCTTTGAATGGCTGAAATGAAATGTCTCGTGATTTAAGCAAAGTCTTAAGCATTTAACCTCTTGTGCACGGTCTAAGATCTTCAAAATCGTAGCCTTATCTTATCTGATTTTGCTGTCACACAAAGTACACATAAGAATATCAATGGATGAATTTAAGCAAAGATTAGAAATATCGTTATAATCCTCTAGGAAGTAAGAGGTGAATGAAACCCCGACACAATTATTAATAACAAACAGAAATATACTGATATAGTTACTACAGCCAACCTGTCAACCCACAATTTATTTATTATCTAGTCTAAAATGCGAATTTAGTTCAGAGTTTTCACGCAAACATGAGATAGTGTTTACCTGTGCATTTTACTAAAAACTAGGAGTGCAAGATTACCAGATCCAAGAGTACTACAGTGAAGGAGGATGTAATCTTATCCTAGTAGGTTTAATCAGGGGTTTAATCTATAACTGTTAATTGGCAGGTGTTTATTATTATTCAAAACTCAAACACATACGCCAATTACAGGGAAACATATAGATTACATAAGTTTCATCTTTGCTGTGTCTATGATATTTAGGCTAACATTACGCTAAAATCAACAAAATAGATACTAGAGTAGAACATAATTAAAAAATGAGCAATTAAATTGAAAAATGGAGATGGTAGCAATGAGTGACTGCCCTGGAACCAGTGATTCCAATCGGACAGCATGGTAGGCCGAAGCTGCTAACCCTGGAGTCATCTCTGTTAATTCTCGCTTTTAGCTCCACGTCGTCATTGGTCATTTGAACCATAGCCCTTGCCTCGCTGCTTCAGTTCCCGAGTTCGTGATGATGGAAGGCCTGATAGATCAAGGTGGGACTGGTTGTTCTCCTTTTGACTTTTTTTGATCCATAGCCTAGAGCACTATACAGATAATAAATATCAGGGATCTCCTTGAGTCCTTCCTCTTGGAAGATTCAGTCTGCAAAATTTTAGGGAAAGTGAAACATAGTGTAATTAATATCAGAAATGGATGTTTAAGCGCATGGGTAGATGGAAGGCGGAAGAATGATTGGTCAAAGGCCATATAAGATGATGAATTACACAAAGAAGCATATTAAAATAGGTGGATGTAGAAAGCCTAAAGAGATGGAGTGGACTTCATGTTCTTACTCCGCATAATCTCATGACATTCGAAAAGAAGGGTTAATGGAGACTCGATAATATTTACTCCGTATAAAGTTGTTAATACTCCGTGACTAATAAGATCTCCTAAAAAGATTTTAATGACACTTTTTGAATTGTTTTTCTTAATTAATGTCCTTGTAGCCCTATTTTCTTGTAGTGATACTTGTTCAATCTCTCATGTAAATTCTTTTTAGAGTACTTTATCAAGGTCCACTCCATCGAATTCCAAATTGGCTCCTAAAATTTAAATCTTCTGTTGACTCTTTTGCAAAAGCTCCTAAGTTTGCACCAAGAGCTCATTGTTCACACTACTTAGATCTTTGAGGTTCTGTGGTTCAGCTTCCAAACCCAGTTGCGCCACCACAAATTTATACAGCTTCTATTTCTTTTTCACATCTATAGGCAGAGAGATATATCCCTCTATTGCAAAAATTGAATCAAGAAAATCCAATTCCTTGAGCCTCACTCGAGGTAGTTCAATTCACTACCCTGTTTGACACCTCAAATAGAGATGTAAAAAATACTTGGATTCAGCATAACAACATAACAAACACAAACATGCCACATATGGGTTGAAAACAGAATCAAACCAACTTTTAATCATAATTAAAAGCCAAATTCATATATTTTTTGAGAAAAATAGATACTCAATCCAACATTTAACACAATAAAAGCTTAATCCAGATCAGTCTAAACTTTAACACATAGACACAACAAACTAAAATAGAAGGTACACATAAAATCGAACATAAACTTGAAAGGAATTGAAGAACAACTAGGATTCCAAGTTTATACCGATAAATAAGCATTGGACATTGGACTTCGTGTGATTTGGTGCAGAATTTTTTGTTCGATCAGTGCAAGAAGTCATCGTTCTCAGTACTCCTCCGTCGCCTATGCTCGCTGAAACCAGATCCATCCGCCGTCGCCGCTCGGTAATCGCCCGCTTGCCCTTGCTTTGCATCCTCGGAGAACTAGGCATGGGCGCGCTAACCGTCGTCAACCCTCGATCCCCAAGTTTCTCTGCCACGATGGAAAAGCAAATACAAAAAATATCGTGTATAACCTCAGTAGTGTCTACTCCGTATCTTAGATAGATTGGACCTCAAAACTGGGCTTACCTTTAGGTCCAATTATTTAGATATAGTAGCAATCTTATATAATTGCCACAAAAGACTATTATTTTGTGGCAAATTTCTAATTGCTACAAATATTTGTAAACTATTTAAATATTGTGGCAAATATTAATTTTGCTACTAAAACTTAGCTGGCTAAAATCCATCA